GTGAGACTTGCAAGATACATCCCAATGTAAAATGATGCAAAGTTATTAAATGCCATTACCACTTGGCCTGAGCAGCTAGCCAACATTAAGGGTCTTGTGGGTTGTCTCCATTAAGAGGAGAACTTAATTATATGGGTCAGGTATTTCTTTGGTGCGATCGTGTTTATTTACAAAGAATGAACACAAAGGATATGTCTATATGGACATGCAGGAATTGTAAACCTGGGCTCAGGCTCAAGCCTGAACTCCTTTTCTGTCTAAATGCAACTTTCAGACTTAGTCCCAGGTCCTCGGACCCCCCAGGAACAGAGGGTCTGAGCTCGAGTTGAGCCAATACTCAGGGTTCAAGCCCTGTGGTTTTGCCATGTGGACACAGCCTCGCTGGACTTGGGCCACAGGGAGTCTACTAGTGCTATCCCACAACCCTATGCCCTGGTGCTCTTCATCCTTTCTGCCCCACAAGTTGCCAGTTGACTCCCAGGAAACAGAGGCAACACCCTTTGTTCAAGTGAAGCTCAGCATTTAACCCTTTCATTTAATTCTGACTGCTGCGCTGCAAATACGGTGAACCGTCTCCTGCATTTGCAATGGCCGCTGACCAGAAGTCCTTTGCCAAGCTCACTCCTTCCTAGTCGCAGGACCATAGCAAGTTTCTGGTAATTCTCTGGGGTGAGGTTAGCAAAGTATTTGATTTTAGTTAGAGAACCAGGGTTGACTATGCCTACATAACGAGCAAAGAAGCTGGCAGTGTTGGAAATATTGGTGGATGGGGGCCAGCTGCTCACAAAGCTCCAGAAATGTAGCTTTCATAGAATCACAGAATATCAGGGTTGGAAGGGACCTCAGGAGATCATCTAGTCCAACCCCCTGCTCAAAGCAGGACCAATCCCCAACTAAATCATCCCAGCCAGGGCTGTGTCAAGCCTGACCTTAAAAACCTCTAAAGGAAGGCGATTCCACCACCTCCCTAGGTAACCCATTCCAGTGCTTCACCCCCGTCCTAGTGAAAAAGTTTTTCCTAAAATCCAACCTAAACCTCCCCCACTGCAACTTGAGACCATTACTCCTTGTTCTGTCATCTGGTACCACTGAGAACAGTCTAGATCCATCCTCTTTGGAACCCCCTTTCAGGTAGTTGAAAGCAGCTATCTCCATGCAAAAGCTCTAGACCCACTACTGGTCATCCCAGGTCTACATGGCAGTGTGGTCCCATCAGCCATGGTTTGTGGCTCTGCTGCAGAAATGCTGGTCTATGTAGGGGACGTCAGTGGCTCCACCAAGTGTCATAAGCAACATCAGCCAGTGCAAATCTGTCATATCTGTGTCCTCCTCCTCCGTCATCATTATCTTTGTCCGGTGCCTTCGATGGGTCAGAAAATGCCACTGGAATGTACACCCGAGTCTCACGGAAGTGCTGCCCATTTCCTTAAGCAGGAGTGAAAGCGCAAGTTCTTCAAATGGCGCCTCCTCCACATTGCTGGCTTGGGGTGCCGGGAGGACCAAAATGATGGCTCTGCAGGAAGTGTTGGAGGGCTTCTCAAACTTCCTGTGACGCACGGGGGTGGGCCACCAAGTTTTCCCACAGGCAAGCAGACTGGGAGCCAGCGACCTAGACTGGAGTGGCCCAACTGGTTCACTGAGCATGCCCAGATAGCCACGCTCGCACGCATCCATGCTCGCACCAGGCAAGGTAGTTAGCAAGGATCTGCCACCAGAACAGAGTTCAGTTTAGGCCTATGTGAGCTGGGAGGCAGGACTGGAATTTCCAGGCATTCTTTAAGAATTAGTTATCACCTAAGTCTCTATTGGTTTAGCTTCAGCTGTGGACAAAGATGTGTTTGACAGAACAGTACATGGAAGTGAGTCACACAGTTCTACAGTCTAGTTTTTTATGCTTTGCTTTTCTCTAAATTTAATAAAGGGAGCTGGAAATTTTTCAATTTTGACTAAATATTTCCTTTATAGTTTCAATTTACACCAAAAAAAAATACCATACATATTTTCCATTCTGTTGCAAAAGCGTGTGATACATATTTTGTTTCCATTCCTTAGTGCATCATGTCACCACTGCATTTGTTATGTTCTGGTCAACATTTGAACTTTGCACAATGTTATTAGGAAGTGCATTTTAAAAAAATGAGAGAACACTCCTCTCTTCCTAGAGAATTGGGGGCAAGTGAGCAGACTTCCCTGTTCAGATGTCTACATTTGCCTGTTATGCCAGGTAGCTCACTTGCTTAAACACGACAACCACAACTCAGTAACAGCACATTGAACAGGGAAAATGACTATTAACCAGGAATATCCACAGTGATGGGACAATTTTTCCTGTGCTTTTTGATCTGAAATTAAATATAATTTCTCATTTTTATGGGTATAAGCAAAGAATCTGATCATCTCTTTTCTCTGTGCAGATGGTGTTGCTGACAGCTCTGCCCATGGTTTCGGCAGGATCTCTGGGAATCTGGTAACATCCTCTCACCTCTAGAATGACTAGATCCTGCTACAATGGAAGCCTGAAGCACTGTACATCTGGGCTGGACAGAGCCATGTGTGCTGGAGAAATCCAAACAGGAGAGCTTCTATCACTGATAAAAGATTGCAACTCCCCTTTTAATAAAAGCAAGTTGTTGTCACATCACAGTGCTGAAATATGAGTATGTGTGTTCTGTTGGGAGCGCGGGTGGGGGTGGGGAGGTGTTAGGCAATCCTAATATAGGCACCAACATATCCCTCTATATTATCACTTGATTTTAGTTACATCTTACCTGGGACACCGAGAAGTGAGGCAACAAAAAGAAGAAAAAGTAGGGAGGATGGGACCCACAGTGAGAATCCATTTGTCCTGCAGCCACATAGAAGGGGACATACATGGAGCAATAAGGAATTAGTGGCACCTATCCCCCTTATCCCCCAGTCATTGCACCCTGCCCTCATTGTCTCCTACCCCTCCTCCACATTCCCATCCATGTGGGTAGATGGAGGCAGCCGTCTCCTCATAGAGTGAGGCCGGGGAGCTCTGTCCTCTTCCCTTTCACGCTCACAGTATCCTCAATATGATTAAGGTCATTTTTCAATGTTAAATTCTTTGGACCACTCTGTAATGGGTGGGATACCTAAAAGTAGGACAATAGTGTAGATACATACACACCATTGGGAACAAGTGTGTAAAACAGATACTTAAACACAGGCCCTGCTGCCAAGGCACATCCCAGCTAGAGCTGTTCTCTGAATTTGGCTTTGCACTATGTGGCATTGTTCAAAGCCCACTGAAGTCAGGGGGACTCTCTCCATTGACTTCAGTCAGCTGTAGAAGCTTACCTGGGATGAAATCCTGGCCCCATTGATGTCAATGGAAAAAATCCTATTTAACCCTTAGAAAGTTATTTTCTCCAGGCAGGTCCTTGTCAGTAGTAATGGTGACTGTAGCGGGGTGGTTACCCCGCTCCTGCCTGAGGGGTTTAAAATAGCCCTGGCAGAGGGCTGGGGCAAAGGGAAAAGCTTCTGGGTTGATTGGGGAAGTAGCCACGGCTGGGCCATGCCCCAATCAGGCCTCAGCTGGCCCTATATAAGAGGCTGGGAGCCAGGAGCTCAGAGGAGTCTCTCTTTGAGTACAGAAAGAGCAGGGCCTGGCTGCAGCAAGCTAGAGATAGTATACCTGAGTGGAGCAGGGCTGGGGACAGGCTGAGGAACTGGGGAGCTCCAGCCTGGATAGCCCCAGGCTGTGGCCTAGCGGAAGGCCAAGGGGTACTGGGGGTTGCAAAGGGCAGCCCCGGGCTAGGCCAAGGCAGCAGGTCCAAACCCCCCTTGCCAGTGATGAGTGGCCTATACTGCAGTCTGCCCCAGGGAGTGGGGGCTAGTTGGTGACTGGCAGTGGCCTAGTGCTGAGGCAAGGTGGGGATAGTGGATGGGGGTTCCCCAAGAAGGAGAGAACAAGTCGGATCACCAGCTTGCAGAGGGTGCTCCAGAGGCTGGTGAGCTAATTCCCTGGACGACCAGCAGGAGGCGCTGCAGGGGTGAGTCCGGACCTTCTCTACAGTGACACAGAAAATATGGAATTTATTAAGAAAGGAGCTTATCAAAATTTTTGTATGGAACATTTTTTTCCTTTTGAAACTGCTGTTTCATCAACAGGGAAACTTTCAGGAGGAACATGTCAGTTTTAATGAAATCTGGTTTTAAAAAAACTGAAACAATTCTGATGATGCTGAAACTTTCATCTTCTTCTTATTATTATTATTTATTCGGGAGCCCAGGTCATGGACCAGAACCCCATTGTGTTTGGCACTGTACAAACACAGAGAAAAAGTTGGTCCTTGCCCCATCAAGCTCACGAACTAAGTGTAAGGCAAGAGACAGCGGATGGATACAGACTTATGTGGGAGTACAAGGAAACAAGGAGACAGTCTTGGTCAGCATGATAGGCAGTGGTATCAGCACAGCAGCCTAACCACTATCAAGTTTGTTGCAGACTTCACAGGATAAGAGAGTTTTTTGAGCCACTTGGAGGAAGACAATGAGGTGCTTTGTTGATGTTTAGGGGGACCTCTTCCCAAGCATGAGGAGCAGCATGGAAAATCACAAAAGGACTTGTCGTATACAATAATGTCACAGACATCCATAACTTAGTCCTAAGCCTTTAAAACATGTCAAATAGCAGATGAGGCTTCTGTGTTTCACCTAGGACTCAAACTGAATAATGACAACAGCAAGCTGGCTACACTAATTGCAAATACCTGTTAAATTGTAAAGGGACTTCTTTTATCTTTTTATTCTATAATGCACAAACACACACACTCAAAGCTGTATATTTTAAATACAAATGTTATCATAACTAATCATTAAAAAGGTATAACAATCCATTTGTTTTATATTAGAGACAGTTATCTTGCCTGGGACCTAGCAGCTCATCTGGTCCTGATCTGGGAATTTAATTATGATTAGTGATCCCAGCTGTGAAAGGGTCAGGAAAGACTACATAAGGGTGGGAGAAGAAATCAGTTAGGAGGAAGCAAGAAGGAAGTAGGTAGATTCTCTCTCAGGTAGGGCCTGGGGAAGGCAGGCTGAGGAAGACCACATGGATGGAATTAATCCATCTGGTGGCTCGTGGAAATGGGGCAAGGCAAAGAGAGCCAGTCCTGAGGTGTTGGTGTTCCAGCAGAGGAGGAAGAAGCTAGGAGAAGCCAGGGGCCTTAAAAGCAGAGGATAGACTGTGTTAAGTACGAGCCTCAGGGAAGCAGCATGAGGTGAGGTAGGAAGTGAGGTGGCCAGGAAAACAGCAGCACATATGAAGGAGTAGACTTAGTTGCTTAATGCAGGGTCCCCTGGGCTGGAACTCAGAGCAGTGGATAGACCTGGGCTCACCTGGGTGCACAAGCCCCTTGTAAGGATTGTTGAGCCCAGGATCAGGCTGAATCCTAAGATTAAAGGACAGGCTGGAATATCCCAAGAGGGAGTGGTAGGAACTTTTGTGCTGGGATTTGTACTTTTGTCACCCAGAAAAGGGTCCCAACTAGCCAGGACTTATCCAGGGGCTGAGTCCTGGCAGAATCAGGCCATCACCAGGTCAAAGAGGTGACCAACAAGCTGTGCTAGTGGTGAAGATCCCGGCAACACTCCAACCTGATCCTAGGAGGTGCTATGGGCAGTGAATGTAAACTCAGGTCTGTGGGATGGCTGCTTAGCAATTAAATACTTTTGCTACAGAAAGACAATGAGTATCTTTGGACAGTCACAGAGCAGGTTTTCAAACCTCAAAAGGCTTGCTATGTGAGTCGAGCTGGTTAATTTACTGTATGAATGGGGCGAGGGGAGAGGGCGAAGGTGTGTGTGAGTGTGTTTGAGGGAAGGTTCATTCTGTTTCCATAGACAAAGATGTACTGTGAGCTCTCAGGGTGAAGGTCTCTATTCTCCCTCCTGGAGGCCTAGCCCTGAGAGCACATTCCACCAGGAGGGGGGCAAAGGTGTCTTTAAGCTGCTTCTGCATCACCCAGATTCTAGCCCAGCTGAGGGCCGGAGCAGCCCCAACATATATTAGAACAATCCCGGTGACTGTTCTAATTTACAGCAGCCTTATCCGGGCTGCCCTGAATCTCTGCTGCCTTACAGCCCTGATAACCCCCAGCACCATCTCCTGTGCCAGTCCCTCAGCGAAGGGCCAGTTACCTCAGCATTACGCTACCTATGTACTGAGGTAACTCCCCCAGCCCACTGTGGTGCCTATCCATCCCTAAATGTAATGAGAGAGACACATACACCCAGAACCACACATTCAGCCCCGTTGTTGACATTTATTTTTTTTTAATTTAAGGGCTTGTCCATCTAACAAGTTGAACAGGTCAACTTTAAATCGGTTAAAAAACGTATGTAGTTAACTGATGCAAAACACAGTGTGGACGCTCAAATTTCTGTATGATCCAGTTTAAAACAGATCTGTGTTGATTTAACTGAAGTCAGTTCCTTACTGATGTACGTTAATCTGTGTTTACATGCATAAACCTTTCTTTGAACAAAAATAAGGGTGCCCACAGAGTGTTTTGCAAAGATTTAAATCAATTGGTTTGCAGTCACACCAATGCAATCTTTAATAGAGACAAGCACTTTGGGTTTACTTTTATCTCAGGATTAATGAAAACATTGTTTGCAGGTGTGTATATCAAACATCGCAAAGTTTTCATGGGACCACAGGGAGCTCTGAGAGATTCCCCAGAACAAAGCCACATTGACAACAAAAGACATCGGGACACACTGTTTTAAGGTCTGAAGGCTGGTACTGCTCCCATTGTAAATCAAGAGTCTCGTCACTAAAGTGAGTGTAGTGACACTAGTGTAAAATTGTCATAAGGGAAATCAGAATCAGACTTGTGATGTTCCAGAAAGTTAGAACAAATTGACACTATTTCAGTCTGTCACACCCCACCAACAGCCAATCCAATCCCATCCCAGACTTCCCACAATGATACCCTGGCATTAGGTCAACACATCAGCAATTTCAGACAGATTGGTTTCCCTTTGTGCTGTTTAGAGGGGTGGGGGGGAGATCTAAATTAGAAAGTGAATCACATCCTTAATGAAGCAGAGACAGTAATATTCCCGTGATTGTTTACATTGCACAGTCACTAAAATCCAGCAGGCTGCGCTATGAAACAGCAGGTTCTTACTTGAAGGCAGATGCTCCACAAAGAGGTGAATCTTTCTCTTTTCAGTCTTATCAATCT